TTCAGTGCACCTGTAGTGCAAAGTACCTACTCCAATACTAGCTGGAGTATTTTGAAGAGTTTTAAAAATACTTTATAGAACTCCTATGCTATGATCTTCTTGAGTTCTTTTATTATCCCTCTATGCAATTTTTTTCTACCACCCGGAACAAATATCTTATCCAGTTTAAAATATCCACTAAACCAGTGGTTCCCAAACTTGGCAACTTTAAGACTTGTGGACTTCAACTCCCAGAATTCTCCAGCCAGCTGGGAGTTGAAGTCCACAAGTCTTAAAGTTGCCAAGTTTGGGAACCACTGGTTTAGTGGATATTTTAAACTGGATAAGATATTTGTTCCGGGTGGTAGAAAAAAATTGCATAGAGGGATAATAAAAGAACTCAAGAAGATCATAGCATAGGAGTTCTATAAAGTATTTTTAAAACTCTTCAAAATACTCCAGCTAGTATTGGAGTAGGTACTTTGCACTACAGGTGCACTGAATCTAGACACCTCCAGATGTTGTTGAGCTTTCCCATCTCCCCTTCCCCCCATCCTGCCATTGCCCTCCCCCTGTGTAATAGGATTTTAGTGGTTGGCATTCATTTATTTATGTTTTATACATATACACATATACATACATGTGCATGTACATATACATATGTACATGCATACATATATGATTGTAAGCTGCCTAGTGTTACCCCTCTGGTAAGATGGGTGGCCAATAAATTTTATAAATAAATAAATCTTTCAGCCCATCTCCCCAATCGTCATGCTGACCAAGTATTGGGAGTTGTGTTCAGCAATGGCCGAAGGCTACGTGATATTTAAGCTATGGATTGGGGAATAACCTGAACTTATACATAATACTAAGTCATGAATCATAGTTTACAGATCAGAATTGCTAGATTCACATAATATATTTAATCAAATCCAGGTACTGTATTTTGGCTTTGCCATGTGAGAACCCAATTGCTATTTGTATTGGTGTACGTTAGGCAATGTCGATAGACATTGTTCGGAATTGCAAAATTTAAGAACATTTCAAGGTAACTATTCCACGAGAAAAAGATGCATTGATCTTACACATTAATACAGGATCCAAAATAATTCATTTTAATTTTCTACTAGGAAACGGAGAATTCTACGTTTTGGTTTTTAGGCTTGTTTTTCCAAAAGAAGCTACATATTTAGTATTGTTTCAGAGACATGCTTATAGCAAGTGATTACATTCTCTCTCAGTGAACACAGGGAAAGTCAAACCACAGATCTCATTATTTTCATTTTATTAAAATTTGCTAGTTGTTATACTTACTTTTATTTCCTCTATGTTTGCCGTTTGGAGTTTTTCTCTAAAATGTGTGTCTGTCTCCAAAACTTCTATCACTTGCCTGAGATAGGCATCATAATACAATCCAGTATCCTTTAAAATATACATATAATTACCATTAGTAATTACAATTAAAAGTAGAGACAGGGATAAGAAATGTTGCTTTATCTTTAAAAATATTTCATCTACAGTAGGTGTTTCTTAGCCTTCCAACAACCAATTATCATCTTTTGTTGTTCATTGCTGAAGGCGTAGAAAATTAACACAGCAAGAATTAATTTTAAACACAGACACACATCCTACAAGTTCAGTTCAGGGGTAGGCTCCGGGGGGTTCGCACAGGTTTGGGCAATCCTCTAGCTAGGATTCTGCCCAGATCGACACCCACCCTGCCCCTCCCCTCCCAAGAGTCTTTAAGCAGCCCGTTCATCATGTCAGGTAAGTGCAGGGTGCACACGAATGCTCAGGGAGGCAGGGAAACGGGCCTACTGGACATTCTGGAAGTGTGGAAACACACCTGTTTCCGGCCTCCAGAGCCTGGGGGAAGAGCTTTTCGTCGTCCTGGAGGTTTGAGGAAAGCCTCCGGATCCTGTGGAGGGTGAAAATGCCCCCCCCCCCAGTACAGGTGGCTGACTAGGCTATGGCCACCATGGCCACACCCACCTAACAACAGGGTAGTGAACCCGTTGCTAGAACTTTTGAAGCCCACCGCTGGTTCAGTTCAATATGAAATGCCAAGTTTTGGATTTCACTGGAACCTACAAAGAAGAAAATATTTTTCTCTCTGAAAATATAAGTCAGACTTCCCCAAGCTCATGCTAATCTTTCTAGGTTTGAGGAACTGATCTTGCAGTTCCAACACTTTTAAAGATTGCCAGATTGCTTTGAATGTTTTTAGCCTGCTTTCCTTCAGAAGCAAGTCACGTTTGGCAAGTCTTATTCAATGCATTAACCCTTTCTTAAAATGTTTCTGCCAACAGAAAGCAAAGGCCTGCTTGTCTAACTTTGGCCTAACAAAGACCAATTTTGTTTAGAAAAATAATTACAACCTCTTCCACTTTGCAAAGAGGTCCATAAATTTAAACCAAACTTTGTATTTTTTCCCTTAAACTAAGCCAATCTCCATGTAAAAATTTCAGGACCAGAAGTGAGAGGAGAGGAATTTGACCAAAATCAAGGATCCTGTGGTTTTGATCAAAAAAAGATTAGAACCCGTCAAGCTCCACCATAAACTACAGATAGCCCTCGTTTTACATTCCTAATTGGAATCAGGGTTTCTGTCATTAAGTGAAGTGATCATTAGGTGAAACCTCATGTGACTGCGCTGCTTTGCAGTAGTAGATATGGTAGTCTCGGTTGTGATCATTAGGTGAGAACTGTACGGTCATTAGATAAGGATTTCACACTTCCCCTGCCCTGCATGAACTGCCACCTTCATCCCTCTGCCTCCTCCCCAGCCAACCCTGGAGAGAGAGCAGCCTTCAGTATTTGAAGGTCTGTCCCCCTGCCCTGCTTGCCTCCACTTCAATTCTGCCCCACCCACCCCCTGCTTAATTTCCCCATCACTGACCTTTGAAAAGTATTCTTTTTATCCCATAGGATGGGAATAGCTCAAATTCTAGCACTCACAAATGTTTGTCACTTAACATTCAATGACCATTCAAAGTTATGACCAAACTGAACAAGTGGTATTTTGAATCAATCCCCAACGTTATAGCCATTGCAGTCACATGAATAAAATTAGGGCAATCGGCAATGCACTTGCATTTATGACTGTGTGTGCGTTTCAACCTGTGTTATCTCCTTCCCCATCTCTGTCCTTTCGGCTCTCCTGCACTCCGCCAATGATGCCTACCACTACTACCCCCCCCTCACTGCGCCCAGCTGATCTTTACCATCTTCTTTCCCTTGCTGCTGGCCCTGCATCCAGGCACCGGATAAGGGTGCAGCCTCAAGATATGCACCCTGTGAACATGGCAAGGTGGCATTGCCAGGTCTGGTTGTAAAGAGGGAGTCATGAGGGGTTTGCAAAGCCTCAAAGGTGTTGTACAGTGCCTATAGCTGCTGCCCACACCACCACCCTGTTCCTTCCACAGTCAGGCCCAGCAAGCTGCCTTTAGTAGACAAAAGCTCTGCCATCCTCCTATGCTTCCTGTATAGATCTCGGAGTTGTGCCCTTGCCCAACACCTGGATCCCAGGGCAGTAGGGGAAGAAGATGGCAAAAGGCAGTTGGGGGTATGGGGCAGTAGGGGCAGGTAGCGGCAGTAGCGTGCAGGATGGAAAAAGGGCAGAAACAGGGGGAGATAAGGGGGAGGGGATTGAAGCACACACTGTGGTTATACGTAATTGAAAGCAAGGTGCCCAAAAGTTAAGCAAATAACTGCAGAGGCACCACACTGGCCATAATTTTGAAGACTGGTTGAAATTACCACTAATTCAGCAATGTCATAACTTCAAACAGTTGCTGAATGAATGGCTGTTAAGGGAGGACTACTGCACATGCTAAAATCTGAACTAATTCCACCCTGAATGTTATTTATTTGTACCCACTTTAATTATTTTTTGCAAATAAGGCAGTTAGAATGCATCCAATACACCTTCTTTCTCATACTCCCCACAACAACACAACTCTGCGAGATGGGTCAGGCTGAGAGGGAGTAACTGGCCCAAAGTCATCCAGCTGGCCTTTCATGGCTAAGGTGGGAATTGAACTCATAGTCTCCTTCTTTCTAGCTTGGTGTGTCTTAATCCACTGGACCAACCTGGCAATAATCAAGTACACTTGTTGAGAAATAATCTTATAGCCTAGGACAATGTTTTAAACCTCACTGTCAGGCCTGCAGCTATATCCCTTTTAGGATCTTTGGCCTGCCACACTCTCTCTTATTTCATTATGCTGTTTCATTAGTGTAGTAGTTGGGAGGGGGAAATAGAAAGGAGTAGAATTGTGGAATGTGTTGTTGTCATTCTTTTCTAGAAGCCCAAGGTCAACTTTTGTCTCCGCACCTCTGCACCTGACCAGAAGCAGCTGGGTGGAGTTGCCAGAGTGAAAGAAGAAGATTGGACCATGTGATGGATTTGTGGGTGTGGGGACAAGATCATGAACTTTCAACTGGGTGGGAATCTGATGTAACTGCCAGAATTGGGATTCCACATGTGCTAAGATGTCTGATTTATTAAATTGGAACTTTAAGGATTGTTTTGCCTTGGACTCTGATTTAATTCTACATGATACTTGGAGCGCTGACGCTCACTTTGCTTTTATTTAACTTTTTTTTGTCTTGTCTTTCTTTGGCTCTAATATTTTCAGAACCCAATAGGGAAATATCTAGATGCAGCTACTCTGCATGCCACAGAGGATCTAAACACCGGTAATGTATTACATTCTAGTCTGAAATATTGCATTGTTGTAAAAGCCACTATTAAGAAAACCATATTTGATTTAATGAAATGACTTACCGGATTATCTACTTTTCCACTGTCTTTTTCTTCCTCCTGTACTTTTGTCTTGTCTACATCTATTGGCACTGCTTCCAATATAATTACAACATAGGTCAGCAGCAAAACACATTGTTGCAATAAAGTAGTTCTCCATCTTATCTGAAATAAAACAAGATACCACTGAGCAATTTCCAGTATTATGCACTGTACTTTTCCCTGCTTTTCCCAGCGCCAATATGTGACTCCATCATAATATTCTGCACTGGTCTCTCCTACGTCAATCTCTATAAGATCCTTACAACCAGTGGTGGGATTTGCACCTATTCAGGAGAACTGGTTGTTAACTTTTTAAACAGTTTGGAGAACTTGTTGTTGGAAAAAACTTTTTTTTTACACTTTACAGGACTAATCCTGTAAGGAAGGCAGGAAGGAAACATTATGCTGTTGTTTCTAGCCTAATATTTATTGCCCTGCTTAGAGAAACTGCCTCTCCCGTTAACCCTTATTACATTGTAACAGCTAAGGCCAATGATGGTGAATCTTTTCAACACTTGGTGCTGAAAAGGGAGCGTGCATGCGTGTGGCATTGAGTGCTGAAAAGGTAGCACTTCGCACACGCGCTTCAATCATGCACACAAGCTCATCTGGCCACGACCAGGAAGAGGAACTGCCCAGGGAGCATGCATGCGCCAGAAAATGTATTTCTGGGTTCGGGCGTGCACAGGCTCACCAGCCAGCAAGTCTTCTGGTTACTGCCATGCATGCACAAATCAGCTGGTCGTGCATGCTCATGTTGAAAAACGGAAGACCAGCTCTTCCGGTTTCTAGCCCGCTGCACCAACAAAGACCAGCTGATCGTTGTGTGCATGTGCACGCCAGAAACCCAGATGAGGAATAGGCGACACCGCATGTGCCAGGCAACATGGCTCCACATGCCACTTCGGACACACATGCCATAGGTTCGCCATCATGGGTTAAGGCCATCAATGTGAGTGATGTTGAGTTGGCCATGCCCACCCAGTCACATGACCACCAAGCCATGCTGACCCAACTGATCATTACAGCAGAGAACCGGTTGTTAAATTATTTGAATCCCACTGCTTACACACATATCACACTGAAACTGGCTACAATGTGCAGCACACCTCTGCAAACTAGGTTGTTTCCCACCCACACATAGGCAGGAGGTGTGCATACATGCATGGCGGAGCTGAACTGGGGTAATGGCTTGCATGTCCACAGAGAGGGTGCTGCATGCCATCACGGACCAAGGAGATGATCATGGTCAGTTTATCAATTTACAATAATCCTGTTTTAAAAACTATCAGGATTATGTACCACAAATCTTATACCCTTGGAAGTCTTGCTAAACAAGCAAGACTTCCCAACCTCCTTCATTCTCTTCCCAGGCTTCTCTCACTCCTGGACCTTGATTTTAAAAACCACTTGCAAAATGAATTCCTTCCAACTCAATTTCTTTTTTCCATCTTGCAGTTGACATTTGTTGCAATGCTATAGACAACTACCACACCAGCTACTGTCTGTATTCATTCTTGCGGACTCATCTGTTTTATCTCCAGCTCTCAACGCCTGTCAGTCTCGTCCTTTTCTCACTTACTGATACTTTCAAGATGAGGCTTCCAGGGTGCTTCCAAGTATTTATAAATGTGAGGCAGGGCTTGTTCCTTAGCCAAAGAGCTGTCCTCATCACTTACACATTCTTTCATTGTCCTTATGCGACCATTTGAACAGACAAAGCTGCAGCTAAAGTTTTCTGTCCTTCACCAAGGATCTGTGTTGCTACCCACTCACCTACAACATTAAGTGAAGCATTGCTACACTTTTACACAGATCTGAAACTTTTTTACTATCTATTTCGAACTGCTTTCCATTTATATCCAATCCTTTCATAATCTGCCATGGCGTTCTCTCCAATATCCTTCCCTTGTTGTCAGCTAACATTCTTCTACCTCATGGTATAAAACCCCACTCAAAAATGGTTAATGATACTAACAAAGGATAGTATTTTAAAACAAAAACTAACTATATTTGCAACACCAATAGCAAATGAAAAGGCCTAATTAATCTATTTATTTATGTATTTGCTATTCCAAATTTTCATGTGGGCTATTAAATATTTATTTCCAATATTGGTGAAAAAACACAAATGCACTTTATTCTAGCAAGGATGGAAATAGTGGAGAAGTTCTCAGTAGCAGTTCAATATTGTATGGTTTCCTGAATGGCAGAAAACAGAGAAAATGGCCTTTTGATGGATTTGCCTTGAAGGACAGGAAGAGCTGCTACCAAGGCAATGGTTAGATAAAGGAAACATGAGTCCTGGGCAGGAATGTAGCATGTGTAAATGTTACAGACAGGCTCTTCCCTGATTCACATGAAGATAAAGGGAGGGAGGGGAGGACATTTCAGGATTCTGTTGCCATAACTTTACAATAAAAATAGTGCAGTATAGGCTTACATGAGATTGATTTCCTAATCTTAGTCTACCTTGAAGGACTAACATCAGCCATATGTTAACAGATTTATTTCCATTCTGTTGCTGGAACACAGCCAGGCCTCACATATTTGCCAAATAAACCCTCAATCAGGATTAGGAGTAAAAGTTTTTTATGCAAAATAGGACAATGCACAGAGGGGGATGAAAGGTAATCGTAACTTCAAATTATGCTTGAAAGTAGAAATACAAGACAGAGGCATGAGACTCTCTTTTAATCTTAGGATAAGAGAAATAAGTCTATGTTCTTTTTCCTTCCTTTTTCCTTTGTAATTGGAAGAGCAAATAGGAAGTCTGGCTCCTCCTGCATTTCAAAAGACATAAATGCAGAGTGAGGCCACAATCCCTGATGTTTCTTGGGTATTCAGATGAAGAGAGGGTTATCCTATGTGGGTTTCAGCAATCCATCCAAATAACTACATGAAGGCAACAAAGAAATATAAAAAGTTAACTCTGCTACTATCATAGTAATCACCTGGATTGCTGCAGCCCAGGTATGGTAAGTCTAAATTAAGCAAGGCAGAAAGAAAAAGATTCACTCCCAATGTATGACATGCAAATAGACAGCTTAGTAACTGTCCCTACTCCAATTTACTCTTGTGCCTTTAGCAATTTACTCTTGTGCCTATAGCCTATAGTTAAAAGTTTAGAATTGAACAGAAGTAATTAAAATGGGTGAAAAAGAAAGAAAACAGTAAAGTCAGCAGAAGACAACTGAAGTGTCACCTGGTTTACAGGTCAGCCATTCTCTCTTAGTCAAAACCATCTCACAATTTTGCTGTCATGGGTATAAAATAATAGGCAGTTCCAAAAAATAAATAAATAAAATTGGGAAAGTCTTCTATGCCACAATGATTTCAAAATCAGCTGGAAAGGGGCAAATATGTTAATACTTTTTCTTTCTTCTCTCTCTTCCCCGCTCCCCCAATCCCTGCCATGTATGTGTGTGTGGAACCTCACAAAAACCAGAATGGATGGAGCTCCAAAGTTCATCTAATGCAAAGGCCTCTTAAATTCACATTGCCTACTCAGTGGAAAGCCCATAACATGGCATAATTATAGCAATATCTTTCTGTTCTTCTTCCCAGCAGTAAGTATTGAGAAATACAGTGTCCTGCCTGTGATACTAATGTATAACTACCATGACTATTAGCCAGTGAGACATCAACAGTGAGAACAAAGTTCATTTTCCCACTGGGTAATGAATCATTTGTCCTCCTACAATTCACATTGTATAATAAAGATAGTGAACAGATAAGAATTGTGTTAAGGATTTCAAATGAAAGTGGGGGGCAAGGCAGAGAAAATAGAATATATGATTCAGGTCATAATTTGCAAGTATTTCACACATTAATTTAAAAAATGGGAAATGTTTAAAAAGGGGAGATGTGACTTTGGCACAGCAAAAGAAGAAAAAGTAGACACTAGTTAAACTTTCCTTAAAGATTATACAACGGGATCATTGCAGCTGCAATATCTCATGACAGATGTAAACATTATTTCCAATGACAGTCATAATGCACATGTAGAGTGTTTTTTGGTAGCCTGGTTTCAAAGCATGTACCACTTTTAAAGATAAATGCCAGCAGTTCAGCTGAATCTTGGAAATGGATGATAAGCCACAAAGTTATGTAAGAACATGAAAATTATGCACTAGGAACTTTTTAAAAAGCTCTTTGAAGGCAGGCAAATCAAGAGATTGCCGGAGCATGGTATCTTTGGTTGCGTTCTCTATAAGCAAGAATGGGCTTGATCAGACACACCAGGCTCAGCTGAGTTACTAACAATGCTGACCAGACTTGTTCAAGAAACATCTCTTGAATTGCACACTTTATCTTTTATGGGGACAGAATCCCCAAAGAGAACAATTTAAAAAGTACTATCCATTATCAACTCTTATCATTTAAACTGGATTTCAAACTATTGTTTTTTTATCCTCTTATTACTTCTTTCATGCAGAAGCTTAACTCATCCATAATTTAACATCTGGCACACTGAAACGTCTGCAGAATATATGCCAAAGAAATCTATCACCATCTTCTACAGCCCACCAGCCAAATAGGAATAGCATCACTGAAGCAAATTCCTTCCAATTCTCATCCCAGGAAGGATATCCAGAAAGACATCACATTAAATGGTACGATTAAATCAGGCAAAGAAAAGTAAGCCAGAAGCATACTTTCTACCTGTATTTTGGTATAAGGCTATTATAGAATAAATTATTAAACTCCATAGCTTGCTTATTAAATCTTATGGACCCACATATAATTCAGACTTTCTCTGTCCTGAAGGAACCAGAACACGAAACTATGGTTAAAACTGTTTATAAACAGTTTGTTATCTCACTACTTGTGAGCAGTAAAAACCTGAGCCCCAGTATATATATTTGGCTGTTTGCCTAACTATAGCAGGCTCATCTAATTGAGGACAAAGTGAAGAGATGCATAATCCTAACTACTGAGATGTGGTGGCGCAGTGGTTAGAGTACAATACTGCAGGCTACTTATGCTGACTGCTGGCTGACTGAAATTTGGCAGTTCAAATCTCAGCAGGCTCAAGGTTGACTCATCCATCCTTCCGAGGTGAGTAAAGTAAAGACCCATTCAGTAACCAGTGCTGAACCAGTGGTACTTATAATCAGTCC